ATGGATGGAACTTGGAAAAAGAAGGATGCTGTCCAACTCGTCACACTGGAGACTCTTTCTTGGATGCCTTTGTTCACTTTGTCATCATAGGGTGTTGTGTCCAGAATTTTAAAGTGAAAAATAAAATTGAATCCATTTTAAAATAAGGCTGTAACATGACAAAATGTGGAACAAGAGATACGGTGTGAATACTTTCAGGATGCACTGTATCTGCTTCCTTATGAATAAGGAAGCAGTTCAAAGTAGCTTTCTTTATGTAAATTTCATTATCAAAAGGTTATGGTCTAATAACTACATTTTCAAGAGCTTTCTGTTGTTGTCTTCATCAGAAGACATGATTTGAACATCACTCCTTTGTTAAACTAAAATACCTTATTATCAGACATATTTTGATTGTATGATAAACAAGCTATTTGCATATCTTCGAATCATGTGGATTTTCACATGCAAAATGTCCGAAAGCAAAATATAGCGATACAGAAAGTTTTGTGCTGAACTTGCTGCTCACTCTGACGCACAGGGAGGGGGGACGAGCTGGGCATGAAAACAAAGTGCTCTTTGTTTCATGTCTTTTACTCATGATTATCAGCTACTGACGCAAGCACTTCTTACTCCCATGTTCTTCATCAAGTGACGTGCTGCATGTTTGCTACTTTTGAGAACCTTTCCAAATGCATTTGCTCTGTCTGTTAAAAAGAGGAAATCACTCCAATGCAAATAAGATTTATTTTTTACAGACACAAACAGCTTTACTGAACACAAACCACACACACGTTTCTGTGGGAGGACACACAATGCTTTTGAAATAGCAACAAGCAGCCTTTTGATGACACCAGGACCTAAACTGAAGGCAGGAGTTTGTCAAGTTAGCAGATTCTCAGTTCTGTATAAAAATGACTTTTTGTTGATTTGGCAATGGTTGAACTTGTGCAAGGAGGGAACACCGAGGGAGGGGATAAGCATGCACCACTCACTGTACTATTACTCAGAAATAACTTAATGTAAAGGACAGATGGTACCATAATTAAGTTTAGACTGCCAGAAACAATGTCACAAACTAGGAGTATAATACAAATGAGAAGCGTGCTTATGTGCCTTCACTGCACTGAGTCATTGAAACGACTGCTAAAATAACAGTAAAACTATCTGAAGACTGAGACTTTTTAAGCTAGTTACCCTGCATAAGGTCCAGTGGGTAATTATAGCAGAAATGTCAACCATATACCCACAACAATTCAACCAAGTTCGTCATTTTTACTACGGACATTATTAAAAGGCTGTTGTACCGGATGCTGAACCGATTCACTACAAATGTCATGATTTAGTAAATGTCACGATTTCAGAAACTATTAAGCAATAAGTAATATTTGTAATTTATTTGGCTGTTAATTTAGGAATGGGTGTGTTAGCATTTTAAGTTTCTGTCTGCTCGGGGGGGGAATTCCTTTTCTACAAGGAAACAAAAATGTTACTGAAGCAGGTTAAACTTTTAATAAACTCTGACAGACTCGCTATAAACAGATCAAACCCCCCTGACTAGACTAGCAGCTACAAAATCATTTGCCAAGAAACGCTCAAGTTAAAATTATATTTGAACATCTAAGTCTCAAATAACCCAATAATAATTAAGTTAGTGTGACTGGAAACACGTGTGACCCCATTCAGTCAAAATCAATCAGCTGTTCATAAAAAGGGCATGACTGCTGCAGCTCAACTTGTTACACAAACCACAATCTGTAGATGCAAATTTGCTTTTACTAATACTGTGGATGTGTGGATTTTGAAGTAATTTAAAGTAAGAACCAAGGACCAGTGAATTCGTGAAGTCACGATGACTTTAATCTTTGACCACTGAATTCTAATCAGTTTGTCCTTGAGTCCACGCTAGTGTTTAACTCTTTCCTCAGGTTTCACTGCGACTGCAAGGCGTAGTTTATTTTGTTGGTCTAAAAGTAATATGAATTCTTGCTGTATCCTGCTTTGTTTAAGTTTAAGGTTCAGGTTATTTCAGGTTATAAAATCCTGGGAGTTCATCTGCTCCATTTCTCTGGCAGCCTTCCACGTCTATATAGTCAACTTTAGTTTACTCTCCATGGGACTCTTACGCAACACTCTTCAGTACATTTCCAGTCATCCACGTATCCTCTGTATGGCCTGCATTACTGGTGCCTTGAACACCCGCCTTACTTTTGAGACATAGTTGAATAGTTTCTATGCCCTCTCCTTTCTTAATAGTTTAAGCCTTTTACGGATTCTCAAGACAGTTGATCTTGGTTCACTTAAATTGCACGAAAGGCCTAAAAGAGATCTGCATGGCGTTACGCTGGAGTCTTAATTCTTTGTTGGATCCAGTGTATTTTTTATGAGTTGATTAAAATTTTGAATGTGAATGTTACTCAAATCTGATACAGGAAGAATTACATTGTACAAACATGTAAATATGACACGATATGGTCACAAACCATTAAAAAAACAAAACAAAATAAAGAACAAAAGATGTTATGAAATTCTAATTACTGTGATAACATAAAGAAAGAGGGACTCAAAAAACTAAAAGAAGCAAACACCTTGGGTGCACAGACTATAAATTCTCTCCCTGATATTGGCTACCAGCAGCTCTCATTATCTTCCTGTAGCGTAGCTTTTCTCTTTTTACATGATGTGATATGTTTACATGTAAATCTGTGCAATGTCCTGATGTAAAAACAGGGAATGTGGTGAGAATTTTGTTTGTGTTGTGCAGCACGGTCACTTCTCCGCCTGCACAGCTCCCATACAAAGACTTCCCTCCTCTCTGATGGTCTCCAGCTCATCTGTGTGAATGGCCTGTGTGATTAAATTTAGCTCCTCACACATGGTCTCGTACCGGTACGCCACACGGATGTCAGGAACGTTGGTTCGCCTGATGTCATTGCCTTCCTGTCCCTCTTTAATGTAGTTTGGGCCCAGCCAGTAACGCTTTGCCTGATTTAAAAAAAAACCCCCACAAATGTCATATTAAACACTCTGCAAACACCAGAATTTCTGATATGCAACAAAAAATTTATACCTTATGAGAAAATCCACTCATCAGTACACTGTTTCTGGCAAGCTCACACATGTCACAGGAGCTCAGTTTCCACACTTGAGCAGCAATGCTGTACTCTTCCATCAATGGCTCCTAAAAAAATACATGCAGACAATTATATAAAAGCATTTTGTAGTGAAAATGCAAAGTTAAATTTGAAAATTTTATTTAGTTGAAAGATTTTGTCTGAAGAGCTTAAAATTTATTTGAAATAGCCAAAGCTGAATTTGGTGAACCAGCTCAATTACATTAGAAGACCAAAATATAAACAAGGTTAAACGTAGAAGTAGAAAAGGAGTGAACACTGAGGGAGGGTAGAATTACCAAAAACTGAATATTGTAATAAATAAACCCCAAAAAGTACCTAAAATAAACATCACTTGTTGAAATTGCCTTGTTTTTAAAAGTAGTTTAAAAAAGCAAAACCTGGAGCTGAAGTGCATCAGAATGAAGAACACACACACACACGCACACACACACACACACACACACACACACACACACACACACACACACACACGCACGCACGCACGGGAGATATAGTGATATAGCGGGTGTGTTTTTTATGCCAAACTGAAATAACAAGTCTGGATTTGTTGAATATGAATCTACCAATCATGAGTAGCTTGTTTCTGATTGGTTCCTGTGTCTGCAAAGCACAGAGCTTTTCCAACAGTGGCTCCCAGGCTCGGTGATTCTCTCCCTCCGAGCTGGAGATCTGTGGACTCAGTGGTCTCTTTCTTTTTAGACTTGTGCTTGTTCTTTTTTAAAAATTATTTTGTTGTGAGGTTTATCTCAAAATGTGCTATAGAGATACATTTTGACTTAGTTACTTTACTTACTTAGGATTTTACAGTGGATTTATGACTTAGTGAAGGTGGAGGTTTAAAGCATGTTATTAAATGTTTGACTTACCTTGGTAAAGTGAAATTGCAGAGGGTCATCTGTAGACAGAGAGACCATGAGGCCTCTGGACAGGTACTCTGGTAGTGGGTTACGATGGTAGCTGAGAAACAGGCTGTTATTGCTGAGAGGAGACATGGCGATGCCTACCTGGGCTAGGTAGTATAGATACTGCAGCACAGGAGCCTGGAAAGAAAACATGGCACAATGATGACCAAAGCATCAGAAATACATCAGGTCTAAATTTCCAAAATCTTATAAGGAAGAAACATAATACATAATAAATAAAATCTAATAATAATAATCTATAATCTGAGGCCCTCATAAACTCTTGGAAAAATAAGCTCCCCTGTATGTGAGGTAAACAGCTGCTCAACAGCTGTTGAAGGTCACACCTTCCTGAGCAGCAGCCCATGGGAGATATTCTCGGTCAGCATGAAACCAGAAACCAGGTGATGGATCGGCCCTGCCTCGCCACAGTGAGGACGCAGGACGAGTGTGTGGAACCCCCGCAGCCTAAAACAATAAAGCCACACAATAGTGAGCGCTGAGTTCAGCTGTGTTAGGGCTCAGCGCAAACCCTCTTTGCTGCTTCCCAGTGACTCATATACAAAGAAGATGACAGATAAAAGCAAAGTGCGAATCTCCAGTGTGTATTATTTGCTCTGTAACCTTAAGCACTGTCGAAACAGAATTTGCATTTGTTATCAAAGTTTTTCGAGCTTAATTCACATGAGATAAATCCAGGCTTTTCGCCTTTTTATCCAATAATGTTATTAATCTTTATTATTGATGTGCTGCATGTGCTTTACAAAAACTGTCTTTTTGTGGTTAAAACAAAGGTTGACAAACTGTACAGCAGATTTTGCAAGGAAAGAAATTTTTAACACTTCCTTTTACAAATGCATTAAAAATCTTCACCTATTCCTATCAGAGACCAAGATACTAATGACTATAACAAAAAAAACGTTAATAGCTCAAATGACACATTAAGGACTGATTTATTTGTCTAACTGATGTTAAAAACACAAAAAATATACAATCATGGATCAAAAATCTCAGGCAGTCAGATCAAGTAAAGTCTGATTTATGTACCTGCGCAGGTGATTCAGCACAGTCATGTTTGCATACATGTAGTAGAGGTAGTAGGAATAGGGCGGGTTGTCCTCTTCTGTCCAGTTGACTGGGAGCGGACTGTCCAGGTTGAAGATATGTTGCTCTGGTTTTGATTCATCATCCACGCTGTCGAAACCCACAACCTGTTTGAGGGATGAAGAGCAGATCAATAAAACGACTACCCAAAAAGTGACTGCAGTAAAAGCAAATGACCAAAAAAGCTTAGATGTCGTACGTGCTGAAGGAAGAGGTGCAGCTCTGGGTGGCTGCTGGGGTCGACCGTAACCTCAAAGAGAGGCATGAAGATATTCTCCAGCATTTCTTGGAAGTTGCACAGCTGCTTCTTCGTGTGGTAGACGTCACTTTGAAGAAACAAGAAAACAATTCAAGAAGCCCACAGGGGAGATAACTAACGAATGGGTTGAGGAAATAATAGATATCAAATCTTTATTTTACTCATGTATTCAATAGATATTTACAGAAGGATCATTCATAATATTGACTTGGATTTGTGTCAGAGTTGCTAGATACATGGAAATTAGTTTTCAGTATAAGTTATATAAATGACACAAAAACAAACAACAAAAACTAAACACAGTAAAAATCGAAACAGTGTCTCTTTTCAGGCATTTTCCAGTTATAAAAAAAAGAAGCCAAAACCGTTTAATATAGGGACTATTTTCTTTTTACCGTCTACTTCTGCAGTAGTTCTGCGGTAAAATACAAAACATTTTGTTAATGGAGAAGATGCATGACAACTTAGTTACATTGCTACTCTTCTTTTTATCACTCAATTTTTGTCACATGATATATCACAACACCACATTTGTATTTACAAATCTCACGTAACTTCGAGTAGCTTAGCAACAAGGCAGTGCAAGTATCATCAGTTTTTATTAGCTTACTTAAAATCTTCTCTAAAGAGAGAGGGGACTGCTTTTTCATTGTTGTTTATTTAATTCAGTTTGCTACTCTTTTTAAGCTCACAAGAGTCGTGGCACTTGGACAAGCCAGCGCACGTTGTCGGAGTAGACCTGATGTTTGACTGCCCATCTGGCCAGTTTGTCCCACTCGTTTCTGGAGCGGCCGTAGATTGACAGCCTGAGCTCCACGTTCTGGTACTTGCTCTCCTCCAAGTCGGCCATCACCTCCTGAGAAGAAGAGACACACCAAGTCAGCCAGAGGGCGCCAAAGCCCAGAGAGTTCGCCTCCAGGTACCAGAAACGACTGGTCTGTGTAAGAAACAAGTGTTTGCAACTTCAAGTGTTTGTGCATACAGTGAGCACCTTAATAATGTGACCAAAGTATTTCCCCTCAATGTAGTTGTCCGTTTTGATGAAGATCTCTCTCAGGATGGACTCGCCAATGGGATTATATTTGGCATTGAATTTGTCAAATCGGTGGAAAGTGTTACGATCCTGCAATAAAAAGGTGAAATACGGAGTCACAATCTCTGACCAGGCAGCACCTCTGAAGACCTTTTTTTAAAGTCTCCTTTATGGGCACTACTCACTGCATGCATGTCCAGTGTGTCAACACTCAGGTCAAAGGCTGTAAGGTGCATGCTCTCAAACACCTCCATCAGTGTCTGACCCCTGCCTCTTTCCACGTGTACAATCTCTTTGGGATACTTCTTCATGGCTCTTTTGATAAAACGTAGAAGGTGCTTCTGGTTCATACAAGAGGAAGCATGAATGTGCGTGTCAACCTGTGGAACAAGTCAGACAAACAGGGAACATAAACCCTCTAAGATACTGCAGTCTGCTTCTGGATTTAACAACACTAACCATGACTGGGTGAAACAGAAAAGCTCTCAAGTTCACCTTACGGATATTATAAAAGTCTCGATGTGGGACTTTCTTCTGTGCAGCCAGCTCTTTCATCTCATTGAGCAGGATGTGCATTTGGAATTTGGAGCTGAGGTATTGCAGACGTCTATAGCAGAAGGACTTTCTGTGGCAAAGCCAAAAGAAAGACAAATGATGGACTCTTTCTGTGACAGTCTGAAAATAAACTTCTGTTGATCCTTTTTGAGAATCTATTTTTTAACTATAAGGTTAAATTAATAATTTATTAAAAATGTGGGAAACCTACACTGGCCCGTTTATAATGAGAGCCATCATGACGTTCATATCAGCGATGTACTCCTGCAGATCTGGATACGGCAGATCCAGCTCTGTGGTCCTGTAGGCAACATAACAACTAAAACACTCTTTCCTGCAAGCAAAATGTGTGAACTCAAGTCTAAAAACAGATATAAATCTAGTCACGGTGAAGACGAAGCATGTGTGCAGAAAGTAAAAGATTCCTGACAGATATCTCACTTATCCATAGTGTTCCTCGTCGTGTACAAGTGCATAACACCATCCACCATCTTACAGCCGTAACCCATATCAGGGGGCATGCTGGTGGGGTCCACGTTCTCATAGGGGTGTGTTTCAGAAACAGGTGGGTGCACTGTGGCATCTAAGAGGAGACAGAATGATCCAGTGTGTCACAACTTTGATCAAGGTGGGCAAGCAAGTGCAGCTATGGTCTGACTTTAACTGCCTACATGCTGTGACAGCCTGCAACAGATGGATCGTGAGATCTGTGGGTGTCCCTGGTTATGTTTTAATATGAGAGAATTGCACAGATTACCAAATATTTCTGAGCAACAATAGCCTAAGTAGAGCACTCAAGAACACAGGTGCAAAAAACTGTTGGTAATTATTATTGTCTTCAAGGCTGAGCTGAAATTATCCTGCAGTTAAATCTCCTGGGTCAAATTTGTTATGAAATAAATAACAGCTTTGATTTGTATTTAAAAAAAATACTTATTTAAAAAACTTAAAAAACACATACATTTCTTTTTTTTAGTCTAATAACCCAGATAACCTAGATTTACAAAGACAGACATTTACATTAAATAACACACTGACATACAAAGACTTCTAACATTTTGAACCGTAACATGTTCCTTATTTACTTGATAAAATCTAGTTTAATCATGGGTTTAAAAAAGATCTGTTCATCCATCCATCCCTCCCTCCTTCCTTCCTTCCTTCCTTCCTTCCTTCCTTCCTTCCTTCCTTCCTTCTCCTTATCAGAAGTTAGGTCACAATTTGGTCCCAGGCCAGAGATATATATGATCTTCAGGTAAGGTTCTGGGTCTTAAAACCCACATCTAGGGGGGCACCTTAACAAGATATCCAAATGACCCCAACTGGCTCATTTTAACATTGTGAAATAGTAATTCAACACCAAACTCACTCTGGATGTCAAAGTACCTCTCCCTATCTCTATATATCTATATGACCTTACTCTTCCAGTAATTACCCAGGATGCACGACCATATGGTTGTCTGGTAAATCATTTTCCCTTTTCAGGCCAGTCCCTTCCTCAACTCTGAGCTCTGCACTATTTTCCACTAAAGAACCGTGCCCTGCATTTTGGAGGTTCTGACTCTCATCCTGTCCCTTTCACACTTGGCTGAAAACCACTCCAGTGCACGCTGAAGGTCATGCTCCAATGAAGCCAACAAAACCACATCAACTGCAAAAAGCAAGATGCTTTTCTCAGGTTTCCAAAGCAGACACCCTCCTTACCCCATCTACAGAATCTGAGACAAGGGGAAAACCAGGCAGAGTCCAACACAGACTGAAAGCGTGCCTGACTTTGTG